CCTGCTATTAACAGTTGCCTTCCGGGGCCTTCCTTTGGGCTTTGCAAACCCTCTCGGACCCCAAACACAGAGCTGGTGCTTAACTTCACACAGGTCAAAGTTCCCAGCATGAGGAAATTCCCAAGTGACTTGGCACAATGTAACCCCTGGAGTTACCAGGTGTATCCCACTGTGCGCTTGAACTCAGGCCTTAGATGCACTACGTTCTGAGCCCCAGAACTTATCTCGGCAAACTTTTCCCCTCCATGGCCCCGTGGATGCCCCCAAGGTCTGTGCTGTCTCTGGTTCCCTCCAAAGGCCCCCCTTCCGGGGACTGTTCTCCAATCAGTGCCTATCTGCTCCTGGCAAGGGCAGAGCCTAAGTCTCTCTGGGCCTGCAACAGGGACCACGGACACACATGGACCATAGGTACAAAGAGAGGCAAGGGGCTCCTCCCTCCTCTGCCAATGCTTTTCGGTGGCCTCTAAGATCTCTCTCATTGAGCCCGTGACCCTGGCCATGCCTGTTGCTCTCTGCTGAGTGCTCCTTCGTGGTCCATCTTATCCCCCAGGCTATGATACAGCTAACTTCTGTGAGGAGTACACAGTCCCTGGGACTTTTTTTTTTTTTTAAGATTTTATTTATTTATTTGACAGAGAAATCACAAGAAAGCAGAGAAGTAGGCGGGGGTGGGGGGGAAGCAGACTCCCTGCTGAGCAGAGAGCCCGATGCAGGGCTCGATTCCAGGACATTAAGATCATGACCTGAGCAGAAGGCAGAGGCTTAACCCACTGAGCCACTCAGGTGGCCCCTGCCACAGGACTTTTCTTGATGGCCCCCTGCTTGGGCCACAAGGAGAGACAGATGGACAGGCCTCCACTCCAGGCCCCAGAACTGCACAGGCAAGTCTGGCAGGAGAAGGGAGACATGGGATGAGAAGTGCAAGGAGGGGGGCACCTGGAGGCTTTAGCTCGTTGACCGACTGACTCTTGGCTTCAGCTCAAATCTGATCTCAGGGTCGCAAGATCGAGCCCCAAGATGCACCTCTGTGCTCAGAGGAGAGTGTGTTTGTGTTTCTCTCTCCCTCCCCTTCCCCCCTGCATGTGCCTGCTCCCTCTCTCTCCCAAATAAATCTTAAAAAAAAAAAAAAAAAAAAAAAAGGGAGATGCCTGGGTGGCTCACTAGTTTAAAGCCTCTGCCTTCGGCTCAGGTCATGATCCCGGGGTCATGGGATCGAACCCCACCACATTGGCTTTCTGCTCAGCAGGGAGCCTGCTTCCTCCTCTCTCTCTGTCAGCCTCTTTGCCTGCTTGTGATCTCTGTCTGTCAAATAAATAAATACAATTTAAAAAAAAAAGGAAGAAAGAGAAAGAAAGAGAAAGAAAGAAAGAAAGAAAGAGAAAGAAAGAAAGAAAAAGAGAAAGAAAGAAAGAAAGAAAGAAAGAAAGAAAGAAAGAAAGAAAGA